CCTGCTGTGACAAAGGAAGAACATGCATGCTGTTGTGGTGTTTAAACACTTAGAAAAATACCTAAGATCCATCAAAACATTTGTGAAAAGCACTAATGTGAAAATTAAAATGCTAAATATTTTTCTTGTCATCATACTCATAGGTAATACCCAAATGATACACTGACAATAGACCAGTCACATTTCAACTAAAACTTGTTATAATCACATAATATAATCTTATTTTGTATCTTTCAGCTAAAATATATATTACTGTTGCTTTTGTTTTCATTTCCCTCTCTCTCACTTTGCAGGAGATTGCTAGAGAAGAATATGTATAAGCTTTGTCCTGAAAGCATTTGAAAATTCCCAGCTCAGGGTTCAATTTAGTCTTAGTTTCATGTGAAAACCCCAGTGTATATTTTTTGGATACTGCATGAAATTAACTGAAAGCAAAATTTGGGCTCCAGAACCTTGTAACTTCCATAGCTATAATCTGACATTTGTTTCAGGCAAATCACCCCCCTGCCCCACGTACAGTTGTACTCACATTTTTGTACAGGAATTTGTTTTCAGAGTAGCATAAAAGAAATCTTTCAACATTTTATTCCATTTGCTCATTACTTATGGGAGGCCAGAATATTTTCCATAGATTGGTAGACTGTTTAACTGCTTTACAACACCCAGAGTTGCTAATCAGCATTGTTTCAAACATGTGTTCATATGTCAACACTTTTGCCTCTGTCAGGAAGTTAAATATGGAAACTTTTTTTTCTTTAAGAAATCAGAAATCCAAATAAGGAGATCACAGAGCACTACAAATTCCTCTAGTGAATCCATTCCAACTTGTTCCTTAGAAAGGCTGCACACGAAAGATCAAGGGGGCCACTAGGGACTTGGTCTCAATCCAAAATATCCAGCAAGGGTCTTTCAGAGTTTAAAATTATCTCCAACCATTCAAGTGCTCACTCTACTGCATCGGCAGGGCTGTACTCATCTTCTTTCTCCACTTAAGTACCTTTAGAAGAAACTACCATTCTACTCTTCACAAGATCTTCAATTTTGTCAAAGACCACACTATACTGTAACAAAAATGGAAGCTATCAAGAAAAAGATGCAGATGCTGAAGCTAGATAAGGAGAATGCCATTGACAGAGCAGAGCAGGCTGAAGCAGACAAGAAGGCAGCAGAGGACAAATGCAAACAGGTAAGTTGCAATAAAAGTAATTGTATAAGGAAGATGGGGAGAATACTGTAATAAGAGTATTAAGTTGCAAAATCTTGATGGTGAGAAAACAAGATAGTACTGCCAGGGATTTTTCCCCACTCACCAAATTAATTTTGAATATTTTCACAATATATTTAAACACATGCAGGAGTTACAGCCTGGTAGCTCTTCTTGCTTGTTCAGTTGCTTCAATTTGTAACTCAGTGAAGTCACCACCAGCCTTCAAACTATTCAATATGTTATAGATAGACCGTTCCTTTTCTTCTGAGTCCCACATAACTTCCGTGGGTATGCAACTCCCTGGAAAGACCAAATCTTTAGGGTCTAATACTAAAGGATGGCACAGATACGTAAAGAGGAGGTTGTCCCCCTTCCCCCTAAGTGACTGTTGCTTATTAGCCAGCATCTAAATACCCACAACTTCTAGAGCCAAGTAACCTTGAGCTCAGATGCTAGAGGGTACTGCAACATTTTTGTTTTCAGAATAATCAGAAATACGTAACCCTAACCTAACAGCTAAACAGAAATAAGAAAAGTTGCAACTTCAGTGCTTTCAAGATAAATTCTACAACTACTTCACATTCCAAAATATTTTGATACTACAAGAGGCAGAAACATCAATCATATTCCTACTTTTGGCAGAGAATAAGGATCCCCGTCTTATATTCCTCTTTAATGCAATGAAGAGTGAATAAATATATTCAAAGTTAATACTGTACTTTTTTCCCCAAATACACGGCAGCATTTATGAAACAGACGACACTTTTGGTTTCATTACTGTAGTCTAATCCATCCCTAAACAGGCATGTGGGATCCTTAAATACCATTTTTTTCTTGTATATAAACCTGCATGTTTTTCACCAAAACCAACTGGTGAAAATTAGGGTGTGCACTATGTGAGAGAGAGGATTTCCCCATTAGTCTGGAAACTTTGACTTGGCAGAGGGGTGGTGGCAGTGTAGATTGCCACAACTCCATCCCCTTCTACGCTACCAAATACCCAGGCCCATGAGGAGCCATCCTCCCCATCCCCCTCTCCTGCCTGAGTGCACCGGGTTGCTCTGCAGTCAGACCCAGCAAACGGCCCCTCCTTGGCAAAGGCATGTGAATATATTCATCCTCTTCTGATTCCCCCTTTGCAAATGATCAGTGAAGTGCTACCTTGTTGCAGAGGGGGACATTATCATTAGTGACATCTGAGCTTAGTCCTACCTTGTACTCAAGAGTTCAGGAGAGATCTTTGATAACCTTGCACCAAAAACAGCAGTGCTGAGTTCCAACAGTACAGACAATGTAATGGGGATGGATAAATTGGCAAAGGATGCCCAGAACAAACTACAGGATTTATCCAAGCTCCAATTTTCTTTTTCTTCTTTTTTAAATCACCTGGGTGTCTTTTTATTCCTATTTTCTCCTCTCTGTTGCTCTTCAATGTTAACACAGCAAGAAAGTTTTATAAAATTAAAGCGTGTTAATAAGTAATTATGGGTTTAAACAATGTAGAATAATTCCAAAAAACTGATTCCATTTCTGACTAATTTTGGCCCTTGTTCCAGTGGGTTACAGGTAAACAGAGTCTTCTTCTAATTAGTCAGACCACTTCGTCAGTATTAGAAAAGATCAATGTCAAACTTTTAAATCAGTTCTGATACGGTGCTTCCTAAAGATATGTTGTTAACTCTTGTATCCCATACTCCAATTTCCTCAAAGTGTGTTTCTCTGCTCTAGTCTAGTGCAGGTTCTGGGTGCACATTCCTG